ATCACTGTAACACTGAATGTGACAGGATTAAAAAATTCAATCAAAAGGTAGATTATCAATTAAGTAAAGCAAGATCCAACTATAGCTGTCTATAGGAGATAATTTAACATGAAGCAAAGGATTGCAGAAATGAAAGAAGGTATAGACAATTCAATGTTAAATATCTGAAGACCTCAGTACCCACTTTCAAAACTAGAACAACTTGTCAATAAACTTCTGCCTACAAATAAGACTTAAGTAACACTACATACAAACTAGACCCAGTAAATATCTGAAGAATACTTTATCCAACAAAAGAAAATGACACAGTCTTCTCAAGTATACATGGAAGATTCTATAAAACAGACAATATTTTAGGCCATAAAACAATCCTCAAAGAACTTTAAAGGATGCAATCATATAAAATCTATTTTGACCATGACATAATGAATTTAAAAATAACAAAATAAATTTGTATTAATATGTGGAAAATGGGCCGGGGATTTAGCTCAGCGGTTTGGTGGCCTGCCTTGCAAGTGCAAAGATCTGAGTTCAATCCCCGGTACCCAAAAAAAAAAAAGTGGAAATTAACATACTCCTAAAAAGTTTGATAGTTACCGTATAATGCTTCAATCCTCCTAGATACATTTCCAAGAGAAATTAAAACATTTCCATAGCTAAAAAGTGGAAACAAGCTAAACGTTCAAATGGATGGACAAATGTAGTTTTATCTGAACAATAAAATAGCACAAAGGAGAGGTTTATTTTGGCTTGTAAAGGTTTCAGTCCATAGTTGGCCAGGTCCCAGGCAGAAGTGGTAGAAGGAAAGCTGCTCACCGCATGGCATCCAGGAAGCAGAGAGAGTGAAGGAAGGAACTGAGAAGGGAGGTCCAGGTCATCCAGGTCATCCAGGACACACCCACCATGACTTGCCCGTTCTGATCAGGCCCTATCTCCCAAAAAGCAAGTCATCTGTGATGCCTCTATAATCCAACGACCTTCCAATGAATGGTCCCATTATGTTCACATGAGGCTTGAGGGGGACATGTAGATATAAACCATAGCAGTCACAAAGACAACAAAAAGGACCACTGACAAGGAATAGTTAGAATAGGCAAATTTATACAGACAGAAGCAGATTAGTGGTTGCCTAGAGCTGAGCATTCCTCTTTAGCACTTTCTTTTCAATAATATCTACGTTTTATACGTTTTCAAATTCAGGTTCTATAGCAGACACTTTAAACATTTTTCCCATCACCCATCGTTAGTTACTTTTTTCTTGTTGCTGAGACAAAATACCCAACACACAAAGTTAAAGGGGAGTTTGTTTATTTAGCTCACAGTTTGTAAAGGTTTTAGTCCATAATCAGCTGGCTGTAACGCAGAGGGGTAACAGTTCATATACAACTTCTACAAGCGGCAGAAGACAGCAAAATCAACAACAGAATGTAACAGTGTCTTTCTGCCCCTTTTATCTTATTCAGACTACAAGGATTAGGGTGGTGCCAAACCAATCACTCACGAGTTGTGGTCTAGTCCCAGCACATTCCAGATTCAGCCATCTCTGAAAAAGAAAGTCCCACCTCATCTGCATGAAGCTTTGGGAGGACATCTAAATACAAACCATAACACTCATTTTTGCTGTTTTTTTAATCTCTTGCAATCTTAAAATTTTAGAGCTTTAGAGTTGTAAGAAATTGTACCGATCACTGAATTTTATGCATATATCTAAGTGGCTCCCAATAAGGCAAAATACAGAATACACCAAGCTTTCCACAATAGTCAATATCTACCTCCCAGATATAACCACTATTATGACTTCTACCTTTGTAAACAATATTTGCCTATTTTGAACCTATAGAATAATCATATAGTATGCACAAAGTTTTGTGTTTGGCTCCTTGTGCTCAATATGTCTTAAGATTCATGCGTATTTTTGTGGGCAGTCATAATTTGTCCTGATTTATTACTATGCAGTATTCCATTGTATAAATATTCTGACAATTATTTATGCATTCTACTGTTGGATGTTATTATGGTAGTCGTTATCCTTGAGCTCTTAATAAATAAATCTACTGTAAACAGAAATATATTGTATGTCATTTTGGACATGTGCAGTCATTTCTCTGGGTCTTATATTTAGGAGTAAACTGCTGGGTAATTAGGAAAACGTGCCTACTTTAAGTAGATACTGCGCTAGCAGCTTTTCAAAAATGATTTTTACCATTTATAGTTTAACTAGCAATGTATGAGTTTTATTCTATAGCCCTACCACCACTTAGGGTTATTTTTTTTTCTTTGTGGCATTGAGCCCAGGGCCTTGCACATAGCATGTATTCTTCTACTGATCTGTATACCAGCCTTTGGTGGTGTTCTTTCACATTTCATTCTTTCTAGTGGGTATGTAGATGTATCTCATTGTGCTTTTAATTTGAATTTTCCTAATAACTAATGTTGCTGACCACTTGTTGGCTGAATACAGCTAATGGACCTGAGGTTGCTGACCTTTGCTTTTGCCTAGTTGCATTGGCTATTCTTGTCTTCTTTTCCTGGTTCTTCCTGTCCCTCTTCCTATGATTGTGGGTGCCCCAGAGTTCAGCCCTGTGCTCACCATTCTGTTGGTCATCTGATCCTGTCATTAACGTTAAATTCTCAATTTTTATCTCCTGGTGGATATCTCTCCTGAGCTAATGACTAATGTATTGTATTATTTATTCAAATCATTCCCTTCTAATTGCTTTGCTTCTTTCAGAGATGTCCTTATTCTAGTAAATGGCAACTCAATCCTTGTTGTGCAAGAAACAAACAAATCAAACAAACAAGAAAACCCCTTGGAAATACACTTTTATCTTTGGCTATTGCTTTTTGCTTAGAATTCACAATCTGTAAGTAAATTCTATTGGCTGTTTCTTACAAATGTGGATTGATCCCAGCTGATTTCTTTAATTTCTAAGCTGCTACCATTCCGTACTGATAATAACTGTAGTATCCTCTTAACTAGTATTCAGTTTCCATGTTTATGTCCCTAGTTTATTCTAAAATAGTGGTAGAAGACTCCTTTTAAAACACATCAGTCAGGGGTCGAGGATATGGCTTAGTAGTTCTGCTGCCTGCCTTCAAGTGCAAGTGCAAGAGCCCAAGTTTGATCCCCTGCACACCCCCACAAAAAAAAAAAGAAAGAAAAAGAAAAGAAAAAAGAAACACATCAGACCATGTTAATTTGGCACTCAAAATCTCCCAGTGGGTTTCCAGATCATGTTGTAAAAGCTAACAAGGCTCAACTTATCCAATCTCCTATTTCTCCTGAATTACTATTTGATCCATCACTTACTTGACTCTAGCCATTCTGGCTTTCTTGTAGCTTCTGGAGTATGTTAGTGTTACAGTGATATTTTTACTCATTCGTGTTTTTGAATAGATTTACCCCAGATACCTGCATGGCTTACTCTGCAATCCTTTGTTTTTGATATGAGATCTGAGGTTTATGAGGGTTTCTCTGTTTAAAATACTACCACAGTTTCATTTTTCTCCATAGTGTTTATCACATCTGGTATCTTACACTTTATTTGTTGGTTTATTTCCATTAGAATGTAGGTTCCACAAAGGCAGGGATAATTGATTTCCCAACACCTAGAAAAATGGCTGGTACGTGGTAAAACTAAGTAAATGTTAAAGTGCTATTTTTGTTTTTTTGAGACAGGGGCATACTATGTAGTTCAGGTTGGCCTTGAACTCACTAAGTAACCCAGGTTGGTCTTTAGCTATGATCTTGCTGCCTCAGCTGCCCAAGTGTTGGGATTACAGGTATCGTTTTAAATTTAAATGATCTGAACTCCCAGCTTGTGTTACTAGTGGTATGAAATTCATCAATTTACTTCAACAGAATCTCTGCAATTCAATTTACATATAATAGGAACATATTCCAAACGGTACTATCCTACAAATTAAACACAACATTAATGAAGGGCTGACTACAATATAGGCATTCAAATATTAATCTATTCATCTCTTTCTTCTTCCCAAGAAAATCTTTAACAATTCTCTAGTTTAATCAGTTTAATTTGAAGCAATACAATTTCCACATTTTCAAAATAGGAAATTAGGGAAATATGGATGCATTGTTTCAAAATTTTTTCTTTGCTTTATGTTTACCTCTGAAGCAACTGTAGATGAACTACATCTGTTTAAGTACAGCACTAAGTTATGCAAGATTTAGAGACCACATTGCCTGCTAAATTGAGCATGCCCCTTTATTAAGCTCACTTTTAAAATCTGAGTATATTTTGATTTTTTAAGGGAAATCATTAACTCTTGAGACATCAGAAATTATATACCAAATGACATTCATATTCCTAATAATGTTATACATAACATATGCCATGTTATCAAATACAGTGGACTGTCAAGTTACAACTGGCATGACATATGAACAACTTAGGTTAATTAGATTAATGGAAGATTCATCTGCCTCTTTTTATCTATACATGTACCAGGTAAACATCCAGATTTCAGCTATATTGATAACCAGCCCTTCCTCAGGAACCAATCGAGTTCATAAGTCAAGGGTCCACTGTGTAATGTACATAAAAATTCTAATATACTTCGTATTTTTCATATTCCCTAGTTTTCTACTTCTGTACTTTCAATTCATAATATTTTTCCTTTCCTTAATAAAAACATTTAAAACTTTTACATTTACTTCTAACCTTTGTTCTCTGGAATACTTTCAAAATTAATAATGTAATATGACTAAGTATATCCAGTAAGAAACCCCCTGTAATTACAAACAGGGGAAATAAGGAATAAAAGAAAGCTACTGACTTAAGAACTCTTCACAAATTTTATAAGATTTTCTATGACAGATGAAAAGACTTAAATGTAAAGAATTGTAAAACTTTTATTTTTAATGTGCTTCAGTCATATTTTTAAAGAATTACACATAATTTATACTTGATCAAAATAAACATAAAATATATTTATAACTCAAGCAGACAACACTTTGTAAAGAAAAAGCCTCTGCTTTATTTAATCCCAAGTTTTCCTGTGTAGTATAAGGAAAGAATTTAAAGTTACACTGTGCCACTAAAGACTAATAGCAATGCTAGGGCACTTTGAATAGGATGTGATTACATAACTTAAATATTAGGGTTATCTTCTTTGCAAAGTCATCTTGCAAACAAAAAGAAGCAGCCCAAATCCGCATACTGTAACAGCCGTGCTCTTCAAAAGTCTACTCTTCCATGTAGATACGTCTTCCATTAATGGTATATGAGTTGGATCATTTTCTCGTTCATTTTGCAACTAATGTTTAGAATGAAAAAAACTGAGTGTATATACACGGAAAATAAAAACATCTTTGATTTTTAAAAAATCCACATTAATCCTGTTGATTTAGATGTAGGAAACGCAAGATTCTTATGGAAGATTTAAAGTGAACAAGACAGTCTTTATTTTTTTTAACCATCAAATTAGTATTGTAAATTATCAGTTTTACATTAAAACATGAGTCTTTTCTTAAACAACTCAGTATTGTAAATTATTACTTTTACATTAACAAATGATCATAGGCTTTCACATTTAAAATGCTACTTTTGTATCATGAGATAAAGTTCCTGAAATGTTAGCTTAAATTTCTATTTTACTTACAAGGAATTATAATTGGCATTTATTTCCTTCTGTATTAAATATCAATTAAGGTCTTATAAAAGAGTGAACTATTCTTATAGCAAACCTACTATAGACAAAATTTAGTGAAAACTGGAAGATCAGATACTGATATTAGAAGTTGAATATTTTATTTAAATATAGTAGCAAGAGCAAATATCAACAAAAACTTATTGGTTCTTTTGGTACATTTCCCCATACACTTATTTGTTGTTTACTGATCTGTTTCTTAAAAAAAACAAAAAACTTTCTTTTATCATTGGTAAACTGAAATATCTCAAGCTTAGCAGCATAATGGTATATTCATAAACTTGGAAGTCTTCATAGTTCTTTAAAAGCAAATCTCAGAAATAGAAGTACATGACTCAGTTTGACTCAGTTTCTACATTTTCACAGAAATTTTGTGCTAAAGAAGCCTTCCTTTGGTGTGGGGAGAGAGAGAGAGAGGGAGACACAGAGGAAGAAAAATAAAAAGGAGGAGGAGGGGAGGGAGGAGAGGAGGGAAGAGAGATGGCTGTTAAGAGGGGGCAGGAAAGGGAGAATAAAATAAGCAGAAACCAAAAGATCCTTGAAAGATAAAAAGAAGCAAGCACATTTATAGAGTGATATTTACTAGAAACATCCTGTGCTGGAGTGGTGATATAAATACTTTAAACATTAGCAGGAATAATGACTTCTAAATTCTAAAGTGTAAATATTTAATTTTAAAAGTCTGCAAAATTAACTTTAAATTTATAGCAGAAAAACGGACTTCATTGCCAATCTCATTAAGAATGTATTCTTGGTCTAACTTCCAAATGGCTTCATTCAGCAACAGATTCCTTTTTGACACTGATGCTCCATTTACTGAATCTTGAGACAGTCATTCCTTTTATTAACCAATTACTTAGAATGACCCTTTCTGACAGGAGCTGTCAGTGTGCTGGTTTGAAAGAGACTGATGTGGTGTTAGAGCCTAGCCTTGACCTCTCCCACCCTCTCTCTTTGTTACCTCCATACACTTTTATCTGTGATAACTCATGTGTTTCTTTCAAAAAATCTTCCGTTATTATTGGTAAACTCTAAAATATTACAAGCTTAATAAGCATGATAGCATAGTGACAAACCTGAAAGCCTTCATAGTTACCTAAAATCAAGTATCATTATGATCATTACTACTTTGGTAAGATTAATCTAAAAAAACTAGTCCATTAGCTTGCTCAAAGATGAAGATTCTGTTGCCCAAAGAACTGTGTCTGCCATTCAAGTGCATTTCAAGGCTAGTCCTTATGCAGAATTGTGTAAATTCTAGGTAGAGAAGGTCACACATGCGAAAAAGTCCTCCTTGTGAATTATAGAAGAAAATTCTCTTTATAGTTCATAATTTAAAAATAAATTTTATAGTAGCTGATTGTACTGTTTGTATTTCAGAGCCACTACATCTCTAAAGCAATGCTTTTTAATTCGTTCATTTCAGAAAACTCTAATTTCATCTCAGTTCTCCCCATCTCTAGTTTGTAAGTTCAAATTGGGGAACACAAATTAATGACCAATCCTGAGGCAAGTATGTCTTAAGTAATTTCCTGCATTAAAAGTTGATGCTTTGCAGGAAGTTTCTATACATGAATACTTCCACATTTTTCTTGGATCCCCATGAAAAACATCATGTTAAGTGCAATCAATACCACTTTCTTTCAATTCTTCCAGATAAGACGGAAGTAGCAAAGATGAATGATGCTATAATTTTTGTGTTGTCAGCAAGTTCAAACTCTATTGAGGTTTTGTAAAACAGGTGCCTGACATATAGCAGGCACTCATGTTTGTTGAATGAATAAAGTCAGAGATAATACAACTGCCAAGATATCTTCTTCTCTAGACAGGAGCTATTTTCTCTAAGAATTCTGAAATATACTGCTCATTTACCCATTTAGAATGTCTCTCATTATTATTTTGTAGAATTTGCTTCACTATTTTCTTACACTTTTGTAAAAAGAAGCTTTTAGCTGGGCATCCAATCTGTAACCCCAGCACTTGGGGAAGCCAAGGCAAGATCATCATAAATTTGAACCTAGATCAAGCAACTTAATGAGACTGTCTCAATAAATAAAAGTAAAAAAAGGTCTGAGGATGTATCTCAGGGTGAAGGCTCTGGTTTTAATCTCTGGTACCACAAAACAAACTCACAAACAAACACCCTTCTTTTAAACACAGGTTGATAGCTAGAGTGAGAGCTTTACAGGTATCAAAGTTACTTATTAAACAGTTCCAAAGAACTAAGAAGTGATTTCTTAACTGACTCAGTGTTTTCCTATATTCTCCTTCAATAAAGGTTCCTATTGCAGCAGCTTAGATCTTGGTATAGCCAATTTTCTTAAAGGGCAAACATCCCTTAAATTTAGATACACACTATTTCTGTATGATTATAAAAGAGCCAAAGCAACACTAAAAAAAACAGCAAGGGGCTGGGGTTTTTAGCTCAGTGGTTCTGCCACCTGCCTTGCAAGCGCAAGGTCCCGAGTTTGATTCCCTAGTACCAAAAAAAAAATTCCCCCAAAAGACAAAACAAAACCAAAACAAAAAATCAGTGAAATTATAAAAGTTAGTGTCTGGCTAACAGAAGAAATATTTCATTCACAACCCTATGTCCTTGAGAGACAATAAATATTCTATTGTGGCTTTCTTGCATCTACACACCCACCCACCCCCACACACATATGTACTAATATATAAATATAACTTATTTTCCAACAAGCAGAAACCTGATTTTCATTATTTTTTTTCAACTGGCTGCACATTATTTTTTTTCTTTTTTTTTTTGGTGCTGATGATTGAATCAAGAGCTTCATGCATACTAGGCACATACTCTACACAGCTTCACCCTCATCTCCTGGCTACATATCATTTTAACATATAAATATATTATAACTTGTTAGTTATTCTATTATGGAACACTCATGGTACCAACAACTTTGGAACAAAGTAATGTACTAATGAAAGACAGAGTTATGTTTGTCATAGTTAGCACAGCTTGCCAGATTATTTTTGAATGGATTTTGCCACTAATTTCATTTAAGAATATAGTTTGGAGCTCTTAACTAGAAAGTTATCACTAGAGTAAGACATTTTTCCTTGCTATTCAAAAACATGAACAGAGCATACTGTTTTACGGTATGCTTTTAACAAACAACATTTAGATATCTCTATCTTCCTCTGGAAACTTGTCTAAGTATTCTGTTTGTCCTTATCAAAACTGCTTCACTATCTAACATCTTTTGCTTTAAAACATTTTCCTGAGTTCCCCCACATTTAAATGTTAAGTACATACCTTCTGAATTAAGTCTTTCAATTTGCAGACCTCTTCATTCAAATCTTCAACGTTGCTAACCAGTTCTTCACAAACTGAAGTAAAATTCCGGGGAGAAGCCCATTCTAGTACTATCTGTTAATATTTTCAAAAGTCACACTTTAAATAATGGATCTGATTTTTCACTTTATAAAAACAAAGATTATACAACATTCTTATACATTAAATTATATAACTGAAGAATTTTTTTTCTCCAGGAAATATCATGGCAACAAATACCACTCAGTAATTTTATATGAATGATAGAATCAGCTGACTGACATTTGTGCACTTCCAAAATATATGTACATATAACTTTCTATATGGAAATCAGTATTGCTATGAATACTTGTAAACAAATTATTTTGTGAAGATTTTAAAAATGACATGATTCTTATATTACAATTATATACATATCATTAAAAAAGTACATTTATATATTTTTACTACAAAAAGCTAAAACAAAACACATGAAAAACTAGTAAGTTTCTTGCTCGTCACTTATACTTTTTCAGTTTAAAATTTCCTTCATTTAAGTAACTATAATGACATAGTTCTTTAATAACACTCAACACACTGTTTTGTTTCAACTTTCACTTTAGCTTTCTGTCACTTTATATTTTAAACAATCAAATCCTCTTTAAAAACAAATGGTAAGCTCAATACTTGGATCAGTTTAATTTTTGGGCTGACTCATTTTTCCTTGAGGGTAAGAACAAAGTTTTTCAACTAATTATGTATCAGTAATACTTTAAAAATTTACTTATTTAGATCTTATGCTGAACAATGTATATAGTTTTATCAGATTATTATTGTTTACTGAGTTATCATGAACTTATCTGAAGTGTTCTTTAGCATTCGTACTTTTATTCACTTAATTTTTGTAGAATACCTTGTGAGAATTTACAGGTAACTCAGTAATGATATTCTGTACAGCTGTTATTAAGTGGCCACACTGTTTGTTTAATTTTAGAAGGAAGTTGAGGAACTCATCACCACTAAAGAAAGGAAACAAAGAAGAATCGTTAAAAGCAATTTACTTCATTCTACTGGGCTAGTTACTAAGGATCTAGTCATAAAATTAAATTCTTTCAAAAATACTTCTAGAATAGCTAATGTGCATTAGAAATTGAAATAGAGATTGAATACAAGAGAAAATTAATATCACAATCTTGACAAGTTCAAGCTTCAAGATGAGATGCAGAGCCACAACTATAACATAAAGGCACAGAGGGAGAAAGAAAACAAAAGAACCAATATTTCAGCATCTACCATGTGAACAATCTGTTTTACTTTTACATTTATTATTTAATTCTCCCCAATAATTTATGTTAATACTAGTTTATAGTTGAGGTATCTAAAACTCTTAATGACTTTGATATCACACAGTATGGTAGGAATAAGGAATTAGAAATACTTCACACAGATAATATTTGAACTAAGCCTGGAGCTGAAGAATAAGTTTGTCAGCTAGGTAAGGGATTCGGGATGGAGAGAACAGGTACAAAATGCAAAAGTACTGGGCAGTATGCATTAGGGTATAACTAAAGTTTAAATTTTGAGAAAGTATAAGAGAAGAGGCTGTGTGTAACATTTAATAAAAGATTCTGCTTTTTTTTATAGTGTAGAGTTATTAAAAGATTTTAAACAGGAAAGTAGAAAATCATGTTTTATATGAGACAGTATATTTGGAGAGTTTGTGGACTAACAGAAAACAAAAATGTAAGTGGAAAGGATAACTGGGTGTTATGGTTTATATCTAGATGTCCCCTTAAAGCTTTATGCACTCATAGGTGTGGCTTTTGGGAGGTGGCTAGATCATGAGTGGTATTAATGTATGTGATAATTTGGTTTAACATAGATCTAGGTGTGGATAATGGAAGTCCCACCCCTGGGTGTGGGTAGCACCACCCAAAAGGTTTGTAGCCTGGATGGGATAAAAGGGAAAGAAAGGCTTGAAGATTGTTGTAGCTGCCTCCTGCCAGTTCTGCAATGAACTATTTCTCTGCAATGCCCTTCTGCCATGCCACCCTGCCTTAAAGTCAGCCAGTGACTACAGAATGAAACCTCTGCTAGCTGTGAGTTAAAATAAACTTGCCTTAACTCTGGGTGTCAGGTATTTTGTCCCAGCGATGAGAAAGTAACTAAGACCCTGAGGGACTTAAGAGAAAAATCGTTCAAAAGATGCTGAAGAAAAGCTTAAAATAAGTATCTGACTTTCTCAGTAGAGAGAAGAGTGACAGCAGTTAAGAAACTTTTAGGAAAGTAAATAGAAAGATTTGGTAATAGAATAGATGAAAACAAAAGGAAGAATGTGGGATGAATTTTAGTTTTTTGGTTTCAGTGGAAGTGGTATGATCAAGCAGGGAACTGAATTTGGGGTCGGGTGGTTGGAGAGTAGGGGATGAAGAACATATTATGGTATAACAACACAAACTGGGATTCAGCTTCCATACTTCCTTTGAAAAAAAAAAAAAAGAAAAAAATGTAGGTCTTTCAAGTGTATTTATCCTGAGGTCTACAGATTTATGAGGCTAGATACGATTCAGAATGAGAGAACATTAATGGGAAAAATTACATTTTTTTATTTTTACTAGCTCCTACCTGGAACTGAGTTTTTCCTTCAATTGTGGACATACACACAAACCACAGTATTAGAAATATCTGTGATTTGGTCAACAAAAGAAACAAAAACAATGATCATGAAGACCACAGAGAAAACAGACACACTTCAAAAGGAGTGAAATGAAATGGTAAAAAAAAAAAGCCATTAAAGGAAATGTAGCATGAGAAGCACAAAATGTGACGTAAAAAGTTGATGTGAACACCAAAATGAAGGAGATGACTTCAAGAAAAAAAAAAGGTTAAGCATGTTAAATAAGTTCACTGATTTTGGGCCATCAGGAGAGCGCAGTGAATAGACTAGTTTCAGTGAAAGGAGCCAATTTACAGAGGAAACTACAAAGAAACTCATACAAACCAAAAGAAAAGTCAGGTAAGGATATAAACAGATAATTCAGAGAAAAAATACGAATGGATAATATGGAAATATGAATAACCTTCAGATGTTACATTCTAGCAAAACGACAAAAAATAAATAGAATATTAACATCGAGAGCTGACAAATGCAGGGATGACCTTTCTAGAGAGCCCTTTAATAGTATGCATTCAAATAAAAATGTATCTAAAATCTATCACTATGGGACAAAAGATATAAATCCAAACAAATTCTTACTAGAACTCTTTGACTACATACTATACTTACTTCACATATTTTCTAGGAGAAAACTTTATAAAAAGCAAGCCGGTTAGCTTCTAATGAGACAAACAGCAAACTTTTCTCTAAGGTATCACTTTTTTTTTCTTTTTTTGGTACCAGGGATTGAACTCTGGTCTTTGGGCTTGCAGGGCAGGTGGCAGAACCACTGAGCTAAATCCCTGGCCCTCTCTTAAGACATCTTGCTAGGATATATAAAGCATTTTCACTTAAGACAAGTTTTTTTCTTACTATCAGGTTGAAAAATTAAGCTTTATAAAATGAAAACTTTATAATCTACTATCTATTGATATATCACTGATCATGAAAAGGACCTTATGTTTGATTTCAAAAAACAAATTAAAAAAGTATAAGCTCTTATTCTATTTGGCATAAAAACAATACTTATAAAAGCATTTCAAAATACATATAATTATTTTATCTCTTTTCTGATCTCTAGAAAGATAATACAAGATATATTTCTACTAAAGCTAATAGCAGTAATTACTTGTATTAATTTTTGTTTCTAATTTACATTTTAGTGTGTAAATACTAAAATTTGTTCATTATCAATAACTACTCAACAAATAATCCATTAATGTAATAAAAATTTAAAGAGCCCAAGAAAATTAAGACCCAATGACAATTGTCACTAAAAATTATTGGGCTGGGGATTTAGCTCAGTAATTCCGCCACCTGCCTTGCAAGCACAAGGTCCTGAGTTCAATTCTGAGTACAAAAAAAAAAAAAAGTAATAGCAGTTATGTATTTCTAGATAGATGATTCACAAATATGTAAGTGGAACAGAAATTTGTCAGCTCTTATTCAGAAGACAGCAAAGAACTGAATAAGGAACTCAATTCAAACAATATTACTAGAAAAAGTCTTCACTAATAAAAGGAATATTTTAACTTTTTGACATATAATTCTCAAGGCCACTGAATATGGATAGGAAGGTTATACAAAACAGTTTCCAGAATACTAAATACATATTATGTGAATGGGGTCTTCCTGATAGAATTGTGCAGTATAAAACCTACACAATTTTACATGGCAGCCCTAATAATTTTTTGCCTATTTAAAATATTCAAAACAAGCAGATATGACATAGGTATAGTAAATTAATTTATTTAATCTAATTATTGTGTGTGTATGTATGTGTGTGAGCTAATTACTACCAGATCCTCTCCCTATCCAGGGATATTTCATTGCTCAATAGCATGAATGCTGGCTATGTAACTTGCTTTGGCAAATAAGATACAACTATGAGTGACCTTATCTTTGGTGTGTGTATAT